CCACATAGTGAAGGCAGTCCTGAGCAAAAAGAACAAAGCTGAAGGCATCACATACCTGCCTTCAAATTATACTCCAAGGTTACAGTAACCAGAACAGCATCGTACTGGTAAAAGAACTGACACAATGACCAATGGAACAGGATTCAGAGCCCAGAAATAATGCTACACACCTACAACCATCTGATATGTGACAAAAACAAACCATGGAGAAAGGACTCTTATTCAACAAATGTGTGTGGGATAACTGGCTAGCCATATGCAGAATATTGAAACTGGACTTCTCCCTTACACCATATACAAAAATCAACTCAAAATGTAAAAGACTTAAATGTAAAACCTAAAACTATAAAATCTCTGAAGATAATCTAGGAAATACCATCCTGGACATAGGAACTAGCAAATATTTCCCAATGACAACACCAAAAGCAACTGCAACAAAAACAAAAATCGACAAATGGGACCCATTTAAACTTAAGATCTTCTGCACAGCAAGAAAACTGCCAAGACAATAAGCAGACAACCTACGGAATGGGAGAAAATATTTGCAAAATATACATTCAATAAAAGTCTAATATCCAGAATCTAAAGAATTTTGTTTTACATGCAAAAAACAAATAACTCCATTAAAAAGTAGGCAAAGGATATGAACACTTTTCAAAAGAAGACATATATGTTGCCAACAAACATGAAAAAATGCTTAACATCACTAATCATTAGATAAATGCCAATCAAAACCACAATAAGATACCATCAAACAGCAGTCAGAATGGCCACTGTTAAAAAGTCAAAAAATAACAGATGCTGGCAAGGCTACAGAGGAAAGTAAATAGTTGGTGGGGATGTCAATTAGTTCAGCCATTGTGGAAAGCAATCTGAAGCTTTCTCAAAGAACTTGAAACAGAATTTCCATTTGACCCAGCAATCCTATTATTGGGTATGTACCCAAAGGAATATAAATTCTTCTACCATAAAGACACATGCACACATATGTTCATTGCAGCACTACTCACAATAGCAAAGACATAACATCGACCTAAATGTCCATCAGTGGTAGACTGGATTTTTAAAAATGCGCTACATGTATGCAATGAAATACAATGAAGCCATAAAAATGAATGAGATCACATCCTTTGCAGAAACATTGATGGAGCTGGACATCCATTATCCTAAGCAAACTAACACTGCAACAAAAAACCAAATACTGCATTTTCTCACTTTTAAGTGGGAGCTAAACTTTGAGTACACATGGACACAAATAAAAAAAACAACAGATACTCGGGCCAACTTGTGGGTGGATGGTGGAGGAGGATGAGGATCCAAAAATTACTTAACAGGTACTATGCTTATTAGTGATGGGTGACAAAGTAATCTCTACGCCAACCCCCACAACATGCAATTTACCTGTATAACAAACCTGCACCTGTATTCCTGAACCAAAAATAAAAGTTAAAAAAAGGATAGCCTGAGATAAAATGATTACAACATATATGATACACAAGGGCTAATATCCATAAAGCAAGAAAAGCACCAAAAACACCATTTTGATTATTAATGGAATTGAACAGCTTTTGTTTTTTTTTCTAATCAAACTGTTTAATCAGCTGTTTATATTACAGAGCAGAATGTGAAATTTAAGTGCATTTTTTAAAAGTTTTACTTTACATTCCCAGGATACAAGAGCGGAACGTGTAGGTTTGTTACATAAGTATGCTTGTGCCATGGTGGTTTGCTGCACCTATCAACCCGTCATCTAGGTTTTAAGCCCCACGTGCATTAGGTATTTGTCCTAATGCTCTCCCTCCCCTTACCCCCAAGCCCCTCCTGGTGCTAGTGTGTGTTGTTCCCCTTCCTGTGTCCATGTGTTCCCATTGTTGAACAGCTATTCTACGTGAACTGAACATTTCTAACTTTTCTGTGAATCACCTATTTATATTTCCTTTGCACATTTTCCATGGGGCTGGATGTTTTTCTTATTGATTTACAAGAATTCTTTGTGTTTGGGATATCACTCTTACTGTGTTATATGATTTTTTCATTATTTTTTAAACTTGTTTCAAAATCTAAATTAATTGTTTCAAAACCAGCTGGTATACAAGAAAGGCTGTGAAGCATAAAGTTGAATATTTATGAGAGTTATACATTATGGTGTGATTTTATGATGCATTTCACTTATTTTTATAGTCTTAGCTACTGTTTAGGTTATTACCACCTTTTATTAGCCTTCGGTATAAAGAAAAACAAAACTCCAACATATAAATATATACTTTTGGTGGATATTTTTAAAAATTGGTGTTAACATGTTGTTTTGATATTGTAATACAAAATAAAGAAATGAGAAATACTTGTCAACTATTTATCATCAATTTCTTATTTATTTATTTATTCTTATTTCCAAAATCCAAGACCAACAGCAGTAGATAATTAGATGTTCTTTTAGTTTTATTCTTCATGGCTTCTAAAATAGTAAGTTAATTTAGCTGACAATTATTTTAAAATGTTTAAAAGTTGAAAACATCACCTAGGGCTGCAACAAGTCATCAATATGTGATTCATCAGTTTTCTTTCAGATTGTTATCTTAGATTGAGAAATTTAACCAATTTCCAAACCATTGAGAAACCAGCAGAGCCAGCAAAATTGGCAAAGCCTGAATTATGGGAGGATTAAATAAAATGATGTATACAGATCAGTTATGCAATGCATGAAGCATACTGAAAATTCAAAAATGTTACATGATAAAGTGAAAATAATTCGTCAGTTATTCACAGTTATCTTGTGAGGTGTAGCTATTACTGCTTCCCTGTTCTACGGGAGAGAACATGGAGGCATAAAAAGACTAAGCAATTTTTTGAATATCCCACAGCTAATAAGTTGCAGAACCTGTGTTCATAACTACCGTCATATTTCCTCTCTAATGCTGCACTGAAATGGAAGTATAAAATTTTGAAATAAAAACCAAAACCTGAAAAGGGGGATTAAATATTTACCAGTGAGCAGTAGGCGAGAAAGATTAGGAAACAATTCCATAGTGCGTGAACAACAAACTAATTATTTCAATCCATTTAATTTCCTCCACAGATTCTGCTTTTATATGGCATAATGTAGGTTTTCATGAATATCCTATAATTCCGTAGAATAAATTAACTGATTATAGTTTGGACTTTTTTTTTTTTGAGCCTGGGCTCTTATTGCCCAGGCTGGAGTGCAATGGTGTGATCTCGGCTCACTGCAACCTCCGTCTCCCGGGTTCAAGAGGTTCTCCTGCCTCAACATTCCCAGTAGCTGGGATTACAGGCATGCCCCACCATGCCCAGCTGATTTTGTATTTTTAGTGGAGATGGAGTTTCTCCATGTTGGTCAGGCTGGTCTTGAAATCCTGACCTCAGGTGATCCGCCCACCTCGGCCTCCCAAAGGGCTGGGCTTTTTTTGTAAAGTTGATCATACTCTAAAACAGCCAGAATCACAGCCACTGTCCACATGTGGTTATGAACGTTTCAAAGCAATTAATTAAAGTAAATGTTTGCCTCCTCAGTCCCACTAGCCATATTTTTAGCATTCAGTAGCTCTGTGTGACACCACTCTGGACACTGGAGTTTACAACTTTCCTAGCATTGCAGCAAGGTCTGATAGAAATTGCTAGTGTAGGAGTATATATTTTATTCATCTAATTGATGAAACAACAGACCCAGTTTCATACTCCGTTGTTCTAAAACATAGATGCAGACATAGCACTTGCTGTGTTAAATCCTTAGTCAGCGAGTGTAATGGTTTATAGAAGTGACAGATTCTATAGTCACAGTGTCTTGAAGCCTTTTTTTTAATAATAAAAAAAAAAGACTTTATTTTTTAAAGCAGTTTTAGATTCACAGAAAAATTGAGCAGAAGGTACATGCATAGCCTCTCCCACTATTAACATGCCCACCAGAGTGGTGAGCGACAGCTTAGTTGTTTCCAACTTGGGCAATTATGAATAAAGCTGCTATGAATATTTGCATGCAGGTTTTTTCCACACCTTTGGGTAAATGCCAAGGGTCATGATTGCTGAATCATACTTTTAGTTTTATAAGAAACTGCCAGACTGTCTTCCAAAGTTACTGTGCAATATTGCATTCCCAGCAGCAATGAATGAGAGTTCCTGTTGCTCCACATTTTTGCCAGCATTTAGTGTTGTCAGTGTGTTTTCACTTTCACCTAGCTCAAAATGTTTTTAGTGTCTTTTGAGATTTCTGTTTTGATGCATGTGTTATTTAAAAGTGTACTGTTTAATCTCCAAGTACCTTTGAATTGTTCAGCCATCTTTCTCTTATTGATTTCTAGATTAATTCCATTGCACTCTGAAAGCAGACATCAAAATGATGTTTATTATTTTAAATACGCTAAGATGTGTTTTATGGCCCAGAATGTGGTCTATTTTGGTGAATGTTGCATGTAAGCTTGGGAAGAATGTGTAATCTGCTCTTGTTGGATAAAGTAGTCAGTGCCAATTATATCCATCTCTTTGTTGACTGTTGTTGAGTTCAACTACGTTTTTACACATTTTCTGCTTTCTGGATCTATCCACTACCGATAGAGGGATGTTGAAGTCTCCAATTATAATAGTGGATTTATCTATTTCTCCTTTCAGTTCTATTTGTTTTTGCCTTATGTATCTTGATGCTCCTCTATTTGGTGCTTACATATAAGGATTGTTATGTCGTCTTGGAGATTTCTCAGTGCCTTTTATTATCTCATTGATGCATTGCCACTCTCTTGAAAGATCCAGCAGTTGTGTTGATGAAAATTATTTGATACACAGATCACTGTATTACTTAGTTTATAAGCTAAGATTAGGAATAGCTGAAAAGAATTTGGACTTTAGGTTAATTTCTCACACTTGTTTGGAATTTATATATGATAAATAATAAAATTATTGATTTTCTGAGAGGTGTCACAATGAAGAAGTAAGTTGTTGGTGTTAATTATCTCGTTAGCTGTGATATTATGTTGCTCAGTTTTTCCTAGTGTTTTACAGATTCCTGTGGCAAATTCTACCAAGCAAAGCTAAAGCAGCTTGATTTCCTGAATGATTCAGAGAAGTCCAGAACACACATAAATAACTGGATTGCTGAAAAAACTGAAGGTGAAAACATATTGGTATTTTATTTCAATAATATTTCAAACAGTCTTACAGTTAGTTTCTTCATAAAACTGTCGCATATGACAAGGAGTGCTTTTTTTCTCTAAATCACTATGCAAACTTTAAAAACTTGCTTCTGAAATATTGCCAGAGTGTAGACCTTTTCTCTAGCTTTATCCCTGCTCTTATCATCTATCTGTGATATCTCTCAATATGCAGTACATCTCTTCCAGAAGAACCTACACATTTTTGTTGTTAATATTAGATAGGGTTCTATTCACACATAGCATTAACATTTGAATTTAAAGGCCTGCCTCTCTGGTATTGCCTATGCGCTATGGTTTATCTATGTAATGTGGCAGGATGCTTGGCCATGTCTTTTCTTTTCTTTTCTTTTCTTTCTTTTCTTTTCTTTTTCTTTTCTTTCTTTTTTCTTTCTTTCTTTTTTTTTTTTTTTGAGACAGAGTCTTGCTCTGTTGCCCAGGCTAGAGTAAAGTGGCACGATCTTAGCTCACTGCAACCTCCACCTCTTGAGTTCAAGCAATTCTCCTGTCTTAGCCTCCAGAGTAGCTAGGATAGCTGGGACTACAGGCACCTGCCATCATGCCCAGCTAATTTTTTATTTTTAGTAGAGGCAGGGTTTCACCATGTTGGCCAGGCTGGTCTTGAACTCCTGACCTCAAACGATCCACCCATCTCGGCCTCCAAAAGTGCTGGGATTGCAGGCGTGAGCCACAGCATCCAGCCAGCCATGCCTTTTTTAGGCTTTAGTTCTTAAACTGTTCTTACGCTTGCTACAACTGCTCACGTTTTTGCCAGTCTTTTATGTTTATTTCTTTAAACTATACGCACCAATCATTCCCTGCTATATATTATCAGGTCATCCTCTTCCCATTAATATCTACTTGTTTGTTTTATGCATTCTATTCAAATAGTGATGTTTTTATTACAAGAGCTCTATTTCGAGTTTTTGTTGCAGTGTTGTTACTATGGTCATTGGGAGGATAAGCATCCCTTTACATGGTTGTATTTTAGGACACCATGAACTACCTTCATGCATACTTGCTTTCTCAAACAGATGACATAATCTGAATATCCCTCCTGATAAAATCATCAGGGAATACTTTTAGCTAAATGGTTCTTTAATTCTTCTTAACAGGTAAAATTACAGAGATGCTCTCTCCAGATTCAGTTGATTCATTGACTAAGCTGATTCTCGTGAATGCCATCTACTTCAAAGGAAACTGGGAAAGTCAGTTTGTGAAAGAGATGACCAGGGAAATGCCTTTTAAAATTAGCAAGGTGAATATTTTTCAATTTCAATGGTGATTCTTGGGAACAGTCTCCGTCTTCACGTTGGCTTTAAACCTTGACTCTTGGTAGCTTTGACATGACCCTTTGGTAGTCCAGCAGCAGGACTGCCCTCCAAACTTAGGGGCCTTTCTCCTACCCTTCATCTCCTTTTTGTGTCTCATCAACAGTGGCTACATACTCCCAGCCTTCTGGTCCAGCTCCCTATCTCATCTGTATTCACATCTATACCACAAATCTGAGTCTATAGCCCTTGGCTTCCCAAAACTTGTGAGATAAAGTTCAAATGAGTGGTATGATATGTGAGGCTCTTGGATCTTGCATATTTCTCTATCTTCATTTCTCAACAGTACCTATATGCACCTTTCTTTCTTTCATTGTTCCTTCTGGAAAGCCTTTCTGACAGTGCACCTCCCTAAGCTGTCTCTTCCTCCAAGCCATCACAGCGATCCCTCCCGCTCCATGGTGGCATTGCAGTGGTTGAATCAGGTGTCCCTTTTCCCACTTTGTTTGTTGCCATTTGAGTGCAGAGACTGCTACCTTACCAGTGCTTATCTCACTCACACTTGTGCTCAACAAGTACTGAACCAATGAATTATGTTCAGTCTTCTGTTGATAATAAAGACGAATAAGCACAAATTTTAACCTAAAAACTAGGTGAGCAAAAACACTTACACAGGACAGACATAGAGTGTAGCTACCTCCAACTTGGAATACATGATTTGCAAAAGGCCCTTTATCTTTCTCTAAATCGGGTTTATTCTTTCTTTTGTTTAACTCTAGAGATTTCAGGATATTTTCAAAAGTAGACAGAATAGATTAAGTTAATTATTAATCGCTAGTTAAATCTTCTGTGCCCACCTGAGCCTGATTGAGTCTTTGGTTTCTCAAGGAATGTATGTTCTTTCTGGCTTTGTTTTAAAATGAACTGTTCCATTTTCCCCTGGAAAACTATTTCTGTCCTTAAATTTTTTTTTTTTTTTTTTTTTTGTGAGACGGAGTCTCGCTCTGTCGCCCAGGCTGGAGTACAGTGGCGTGAACTCAGCTCACTGCAAGCTCTGCCTCCCGGGTTCATGCCATTCTCCTGCCTCAGCCTCCCAAGTAGCTAGGACTACAGGCGCCTGCCACCACCCCCAGTTAATTTTGTTTTTGTATTTTTTAGTAGAGACGGGGTTTCACCATGTTAGCCAGGATGGTCTCGATCTCCTGACCTTGAGGTCCGCCGGCCTCGGCCTCCCAAAGTGCTGGGATTACAGACGTGAGCCACCGCACCTGGCCTCTGTCCTTAAATTTTTTAAAACAAAATTTGTTTTGTTTTAAAATTTGTGTTAGGATTTCGTTAAACTGCAATTGACAGAAAACTCAACATGCAAGGTTTAAACTCTTGATACTCTTCCTCCACAATAGGAATTCTGGAGGTGGGCAGAGGCCAAGGCTGATGTGGGATGTAAGTGAAAGTTTCAGGGAATCACTCTCTCTTCTGCTCTGCCTTCATTACTTCCATGACTTACTTCCTCATGGTCACAAGCTGGTTCAGACATTAGATACACAATCCAGGCAAGAGAAAGCAGCAAGGACGAGGAAGAAGAGTAAATCTTGTCTTTCTAAGGTTCTGCCATTTTTCTCATGAAGGAAAACTTTTTTTCTTTATCTCACAGGCCAGAATTATTTTATGCTATAAGGAGATGAAGAATTCTGTTTTCCTTTCTAGTCTTTACACACACATACACACACACACACACACACAAAAAAAAAAAAAAAAAGTTGCAATGAATGTTAAGTGTACCAACCTATGTACTTTCTCAAAGGGTGAAGATTTTGAGATGATATACATTTTTATTTTAATTCTTTAATTACAAAATAAAATAAAACTTACCTATACAATTGCAAATTTAGTGAATCATTGAGTTACCACAAATGACCAAGATTGGATCCTTTCATATCACAAGACTAGAGGTATTGGGATCTGAAAGTGGGGAAAGGAATTTTCCTAGACCAGTGGTTGGCAGACTATGCCCAATGGCCAGGTCTAGTCCATCACTTATTTTTATAAATAAAGTTTTATTGAAATACAGCTTTGTTCATATGCTAAAATACTGTCTATAGGTGCTTTCATTGTACAACAGCAGAGTTGAGTATCATTGAGTGTCCCTAACTTGAAAATCCAAAACCTAAAGTGTTCCAAACATCTGAAACTTTTTGACCACCAACATGATGCTCAAAGAAAATGGCCACTGAAGCATTGTGGATTATAGATTTTTTTTTTTTTATACTTTAAGTTCTAGGGTACATGTGCACAATGTGCAGATTTGTTACATATGTATACATGTGTCATGTTGGTGTGCTGCACCCTTTAACTCGTCATTTACATTAGGTATATCTCCTAATGCTATCCCTCCTGATGCTGTCCCTCCCCCCTGATTTTAACATTAAAGATGCTCGGGACAGGCTCGGTGGTTCACACCTGTAATTCCAGCACTTTGGGAGGCAGAGGCAGGTGGATCACGAAGTCAGGAGATCGAGACCATCCTGGCTAACATGGTGAAACCCCATCTCTACTAAAATACAAAAAATTAGCTGGGTGTGGTGGGGCACACCTGTAGTCCCAGCTACTTGGGAGGCTGAGACAGGGGAATCGCTTGAACCTGGGAGGTGGAGGTTGCAGTGAGCCGAGATCGCACCACCGCACTCCAGAGCGAGACTCTGTCACACACACACAAGAAAGATTAAGGATGCCCAACCAGTAGGTATAATACAAATATTTCAAAATCTGAAAAAAATCCAAAATCTGAAACGCTTCTGGCCCCATACATTTCAGATAAGGGACACTCACTCAGCAATTGAGCAGAATTATTGTGTAGAATATAATCATGGTCCTCGAATCATTCTTACTTTTTGAGGATGCATTAGCAACAGATGTGGTGTTCTTCTAGTAAGTTGTGTTAATTTTTCTTTTTTTTTCAGTATTTTTGTTGTTAAGTTTGTTTCTTCATTTATTTAATGAACAGTGATTGAGCGCTCACTATATGTCATGTATTGTGCTAGGTACTATTCCAGCCATGTTCAAAATCTGCAAAGTGTCCCTCTCCTCATGGAGCTTACATGTTCCTCGGGGAGAAAGACAGTAAACATATATTAAAAAGCAGTGCTATGGAGACAGGTACAAAGAAAAGGTGATAGAAAGTTGAGGTGGGGCAACACAACTTCTGGTAGGGGTCTCAAGGAATCCCTCACTGAAGGAGGTGGTATTTGAGACAAGGACAGAAGGAGGTGAGGCCATATGTGTTACAGGTTCTGGGGGAATGAGTTCAGTGGGCAGAGTTGAGATAGTTTGTCCATGGATCCGTGAAGCAACCACTCTGAGTGTAGCAGACAAGCAAAGGGAGTGCAGTAAGAGGTGAGATCAGAGAGGCAGTGGAGGACAAGCTCCTGACATGATTTGCCAGTTTTTTCAAAGACTTCAGCTTTCACTCTGAGTCAGGAGGGTTTTCAGTTGAGGAGTGATGTGACTTATGTCTTAACAGGGTCTCTCGGGCTCCTGTGTTGAGAATAATCACAGGGAGGATAAGGGCAGAAATAAGGCAATCACTTACAAGTTTATTGCATCGTCCAGGACTAGGATGATAGCAGCGGAGGTAGGATGCACAGGTTAGATTTTGGTTACGTTGTAAAAATGGAGCTGATATAATTTGCCAAGGGTCAGATATGTGTTGTGAGAGAAAGATGGGAGTCAACATTCATTCCAGGGTATCCGACAACTGGACAGATGGCGTCCCCCTCAACTGAGATGGGACAGAAAACAGATGGAGCAGATTGGGAAGGGGTTGTGAGGAGCCCAGTGTTACAAGTTAGACTGGAGGTTGGTTTTATATGTTCAGATGCTGATGTTGAGTAGGGCAGTGAAATTTATGAATTTGGACTACTGAGGTGAGCTCCAGGCCAGAGGTGCAGATTTGGGTTTTATATTTAAATTCATAAGACTAAATGAAATGATAGGGGTGAAAAGAAATCGTTTTCCTCTATATTCGCAAGTTCTTTGGCTGGGACCTTGTAAAGTGACAAAAGAGAATTAACAAGAGAAAAACGAACAGAAATTTATTAACTTGTGCATCACATACGTACATGGGAAAACTCAGTGATAAGTAATTTGAAGAAGTCATTAGAATTTGTGGTGTTTTTACCCAACTTCGTAGGAGAAAGGGAGGGGAACAAAGGGCACTTGGGAAAAACAAATGCCTTTTGTGGAAAGATAAATGGATCCTTTTGGAGCAGAATCGATGGCAGAGGTAATAGGCTTGTGACAATGTCTGGCTGGGTGTGTGCAGACTTTTCATCTCTAAGAAAATTAGAATTGTTACCAAGGAAGAGAATAATGAAAATTGAGTTTTTTCGGGGAGATTCTGCTTTTAGGCAGATAGGCTATTTCAGGAACTCTAATGCCTTCAGTTCAAAATATTCTTAAACCAAAGTGGTATATTTCAGAGTGGCATATCGTGATCTCCTTCAAGATCACCAACAGAAAGCAAGGTAAGGATTGAGCCCTGGGTAGCCCAGTGTTTGGAGACTGAGGTAATGACCATGAACCAGTAAAGGAAGGGTCTAATACGGGGTTCTAGAGACCAAAGAAAGAAAGCATTTGTAGGGGCAGAAAGTGACCAACTCTGTTGATTATGCTCAATATTCAACTCTTGTGCTTCAACTTAATGTGTATCTGTTTCCTTTCTAGAACAAAGAAAAACCTGTGCAAATGATGTTTAAGGAATCCATCTTTAAAATGACCTATGTAAGGAAAATATCCAGCCAAATTCTAGTGCTTCCCTATGTTGGAAAGGAACTGAATATGATCATTTTGCTTCCCAATGAAGACACTGATTTGAAAATGGTAATGAGTGTTCAAAGTATGCATTTTATCATAGTAAAGGCTCTCACAAGCCTTTTAGGAAAAAAACTTTGAACATTTGCTTTTACCAGTGTTTCCCTGACATATTTGGCCACATGCTCTTTTCTCTTTTCATGATTACATCCAGTGGGGTGGTGTTCTAAGTGTTGAACACAATTCAGAAAATACTCTTATCCTAGAATGGGCTCAGGTTGAGGGTCAACTCTGAACTCTGAACCAGGTCAGAGTTCAATGTCCTGCTTTACAATTTAGAAATCTGTACTCTTTCAGGCTGTTTATTCCTATGGAAAATGGTGGCAGTACCTCCCTATGAGGGATGTCATAGGATGGAAGACATAGTATATATAATGCATTTGTTTCGACGCACAGAGTATGCCATTGACTAATATTAGTAGTCTTCTCCACAACCTTGCCCCATAGTTGTAAGTTTGCTCTTTAGAAAGCAGTCATGTGGGGAAACAGCTGCTGTGACTCCGTGTATCATTTGAGGATCTTGTTAGAAAGAAGATTCTGATTTAGTAAGACTGGAATGGAGGAGCCTGAGAATCTGCATTTCCACCAAGCTCCTCGGCGATACTGAGGCTGCTAGCCCATGGACCACACTGAACAGCAAGGTTGTAGAGAGTCAATGAAAAATTTAGCTGGAGAGTAATTTGAGTTTCTAGAAAACTAATCCTTTTGCCTGCAATAGATGAGTTGGAAGTATCGATAATAGAGATAGGTCAGAAGGGATGTTGCTATGCCTTTCAAGCAAGACATGACAAAGGCCTGAATGAAGGCAGTGGCAGCAGAGATGAAGTAAGGGCCAGATGAGAAATTTAAATTTGGAAATTTAAATTAACAGAGATTTGGAAATTTAAATTAACAGAAAATGATGATGGATTCATTGGAAGAAAGTTTGGATGGAAGAAAAGGCAAGTCTGAGATGTCCTACCTCAACATGCTGCTGTTAAGCTACAACACCAAACTTTGTAAGAACAGCTGTTCTTATACAAATGCAGCCAAACTGTAAGATTCTGCCTCAGGGAAATGGTTTGACTAAGTTTCTGGAAATGAAGAGTCAAAGCACAGAAATATAAAATCAATTCATATTTGAATGGTTTAGCATTACTGTGCTGTCATCCAGGTGTGTGCAGTCCAATATGGTAGCCACTAGCCACCTGTAACTATTTACATTTACATTAGTTAAAATTAAATAACATTTTAAAAATCCAGGCTTCCTTTATACTACACACACTTCTAGTGCTCCATAGCCATATTTGGCTCATGGCTATCACATTTGGCAGCATAGCCATACATCGTTAACATCATAGCAGAAAACTGTATTGGGTAACAGTGATCTAGACCCTAAAATATCCAACACTCTTCTTCTAGGTGGAGAAAAAACTTTCTTATGAGAGATTCATAGAATGGACAAACCCAGACAAGATGCATGAACGAGAGATGGAAGTTTTCCTTCCTAGATTTAAACTAGAGGAAACTTACAACATGGAGGATGTCCTTCGCAGTATGGGCGTGGTCGATGCCTTTGAACAGGACAGGGCAGACTTCTCAGGAATGTCATCTAAGAAGGATCTGTACTTGTCCAAGGTCATGCACAAGTCCTTTGTGGAGGTCAATGAGGAAGGTACAGAAGCAGCAGCAGCTACCACCGAAGAAATAGTTTTATGTTGTGCCAGTTACTCCCTCAGGTTCTGTGCAGACCATCCCTTCCTTTTCTTCATCCAGCACAGCAAAACCAATGGTATTCTCTTCTGTGGCCGGTTTTCGTCTCCATAAGGACATAGGTAGTCATTGGATATAGTCCTTCTCTTTTCTCTTAGTGACCTACATTTCCTCCACTCTTTATAGTGTGCCTGTGACCCAAAGTGACTTTATATTGCAGCAGTCAAAAATGAGATGTTAGGAATCTAATTTTGAAATTCCTTATTGAGAACCCTTGTGTGTGTGTTTGCATGTTAAATGTTTTCTAGAGTCTGAACTTGTCTCCAAGGATTTTGTGGTCACTTGGCAGGTGGTATCAATGACCACTTAGTCAAACCCCTCTGCTTGAAATGAGGTGTTACCCTCTCCCCACTGCCCACACCAATATATTCCAACTGTTAGAGCCATCTGCTGTCTCTTCACTTTGTATATGGTGCCACCCTCACAGAATGCTATCCTTCTGTTTTCCCAAACACAAGAAGATACATGTTATTTTCTGTCTTCTCTGTTCAATAGTATTGACAAATGTGGGCCCATTTTTAATGGAACAATAGAAAGTGAAATGGAGACTGGGGAGGAAGTATGGTGAGCAGGACTCAGCAATTCTCAGAAGTGGCCCAGCAGGGTGGCTCACACCTGTAACCAGCACTTTGGGAGGCCAAGATGGGCGGATCATTTGAGGCCAGGAGTTTGAGACCAGCCCGGCCAACATGGTGAAACCCGGTCTCTACTAAAAATACAAAAATTAGCTGGGCATGGTGTTGCATGCCTATAGTCCCAGCTACTTGGGAGGCTAAGGCAGGAGAATCACTTGAACCTGGCAGGTGGAGGTTGCAGTGAGCTGAGATCGTGCCACTGTGCTCTAGCCTGGGTGAGAGAGCGAGACTCTGTCGAAAGAAAGAGAGAAAGAGAGAAAGAAAGAAAAAAGAAAGAAAGAGAAGGAAGGAAGGAAAGAAAGAGAAACAAAGAAAAAAGAAAGAAAAGAAAGAGAAAGAAAGAAAGAAAGAAGGAAAGAAAGAAAGAAGAAAGAAAGAGAAAGAAAGACATTTTCAGAAGCGACCTGTATTCCAGCTCTTCAGAAGCTGGCACAGAGGGTGAGAGAGCAGTTAACCGAGACCAGTGAGAATTCAGTCCAATTTCCCGGGTGTTTCTGTTTTAATCATAGTTTGCCTTCACAGGGATCAGTGGGTCACAAGCCTATTCAAATGTACAACTCTCCACTTTCTCTGAAAATTTACACTTGCTATCAGGAGGCAGAGATGATTATACATGTTCTGTTCACACTAATGTAGTCTGAGACAGCTTCACGGGTAAACATCACATGTCGTTCTATATTTGAAATATTTTTTGAAAAGGACGTTAAGCTTTCTGTGGCCATTTGTGTTACAGGCTTGAAATGCAACTGCTGTGATCAGTGATAAGGGAACACACTGATGATTTAGATTGAATAGGGAGGGTTATATTGTTTTCTAGGGCACAGCTAAAAAGGCTTATTCCATCAACCCCCTTGCAGCCAGAAAGACCCTGAGCCCTCAGAACTTCACTGACACAACCCATATTTTCTTTCCATAACTGGCCCACTTTTCCCTTTGCACCAAAGCCAGCTAGCTAGCTTCAGGGAGAGAATTGGACTGAGGATTATAAGGAAACATCCACGTTGTATGTGGGCTGAGAGAGGAAAGCGGGAGTATCGGAGGTTGCCGGGTTTGCTACTCTCATTCCTCTTCCTCCTCTGCCCAACACTTGGACTTGGAAAGAGCTCTGAAAGGTGGGGAGTAATCAGCTCATGTGATTCTCCCACTGCAGAGAGACTCTGAGTGTTACAGCCAGGGGCCACAGGGTGGCGCCCTGTTCCTCAGGAAAGCACATGCCTCTTTGCACTGGCTTGCGGATAGTCCAGTCAAGTGCAGTAAGAGGTGGGAGTGGGGAGTGTAAATAGAGTAGTCTCTAACTATCCAAATAGGAAGGTGTTTTTTTTTTTTTCTCTCTTTCCTGGCATGAAGATAATCAAATCATTTCAATAGTGAATTATGAAAATGAATGATAATGGTTTTATCTGTTATAGAAATATAACATAATCAGACTTTAGCCATGTAAACCATAAAACATAGAGATAACAATATGCACATTGTTCCTAGAGCGTTTTGTAAAATTATGTTTGTCATATTCTCTTTGAAGAGTTATCACTCAATATTTTATTTCTGTCTTGTAAGGCCTGAAATCTTATGTGCTGCCTTGACATCTATGGGCTTCTCAGGGCCTCAGAGACCTGGCCACCCAGTCCCCTGCTCTTGTCAGATATGTGCACCCTGTTCACCCACTGAGCAGGAAGCCTCCTTCCCCTTCTGAGTTCCCCTATCGGCCAGTCAGTGCTACCCCACCTGGGTCTCAACCTGGCTCACTGCCCTCCAGCCTGGAAAATTATTCAAACAAGCCTGTCACATCTGGAGGAACCAGGAATCGCCTCTTCCTCTTGTTAGTGCAAAGCCTGCCTTCCACAGCCCCTGCTGGTTCACTCTTTTCCCAAATGCAACTCTCCTGTGACCCTGCATGGCATGCAGTGACCTCCCTCCTTGGGCTCTTAGCAGATGTGACTAATAAACTGCTGCCAGTTTCATCTGTCCAGTGTCTCATGCTATGTGTCTGGTTGTCTCCTACTATTTAGTGGGGGAGATCCCTCCTTCGCCAACAAGGTGAATATGAGATGATCAAAACAACTATAGCAAAAGGTCCAGCCTCCCAAATAATAACTCCATGTCTTTTGTGAAATTGCACTAAGACATTTCCTTTACACTATGTAGTGTTTCTTGTAAGGATCCACAAAGTGAGTTCCATTTAGAATTGAATTCTAGGGAAAAAAGTTTATCTCACCTCTTCAGAGATGTTTACTGAATACCTTCTTTGCACTGGACATTTTACATAGATTATTTAATCCTCAGGGATAATAAACCCATGAGGAATCTGAGACTCAGAAGTAACTCGAACAAGTTCTTGTAGCTAGCAATGAAGTAGAATGTGGATCCAATGTCTGGTAATGCCAAAAACCGGAAAATTACTCAGACAAGCCTGGTACCTCCAGAAGAGCCATGGGTAATCTCTTCCTCTTGTTATCATGAAACTTGCCTATATCAGCTCCTACCAGAAGGGCAGCTGTCAGCATAGTGCAGGAAGAGTAGGGACCAGAAACCTGTCTCCCTTTAACATGAAGTCTGATTTCTTTGGCTGTGTTATCCCATCTGAAAAGTGGGACTCGGAAACTTCCGGCACCAAAAGCACATCATCCTGGATCCAGGGATGAGCATCCTGGGATACAGACCTAAGGTCAGGTGCATCTGGGTGCCATGAACTCTGGAAGCATTGCTACCCCCTCCAGGAGTCCTGAATGGAGGTCCTGAGAGCCTTCACTCCTCCTATGCATCAATAAATGGGAACTCTAAGGCTCTTGCATCCCTCTTCTCAAAGAGGGCTGCAGGGCCACAATTGCAAAGGAGAGGTCCACAGCAGGGGATGGTTTAGAGACTGAGAAGATGCAGGCTGTACCCGCATGAGGCACCCCTCAAGAAGCTGATGCTCTTCGGCATGTGAAAGATGGCCTTTCCTTTCCTGACCTGAAGCTTCTGTGTTGAAGGAGATGGAGGGGGCAGAGGACTGGAGGGAGGTTTCCAGTTCTGTGGGCTTGCTGTACAAGCTGACGTTAATCTGATACAGGTCATAGCATGGACCATGCACACCTGATTGGCATATCTAGTGGCCGTTGGGGAAAGCAGCATAAAATTCTTCTCCCACCTATACTAGTCTTGAACTCCTGTCCTCGTGATCCACCCGCCTTAGCCTCCCAAAGTGCTGAGATTACAGACGTGAGCCACTGTGCTAGGTCGAAAGTAGTTTGCTTTCTCTAGCTACTTGTGACCAAGCATACAATGTTTTATCAGTGAATTCCTTACATATTGTCCTTGAAGGATTCTGGAGAGGATCCGGAACAGAGACAGATTCACTAGTTATCATCCCAAATTTAATGACAGGTTTGCCTGATCACTCCATTGCTGTGCCAGGTATCAATTTATTGTTTATCAGCTCTAAATCTACCTTTGCGGACTTTATGGTAGTAAACCTGGATCCTACAACATGAACTTGACTGACTGGCCCAGTGTTCGGCTTTGCCAGTAGAGGGAGCTGAAGAGACACTGTAAGAAGATAGCAGTAGAAACGCACTTTCTGGATTCTGATCTTAGGATTATTCAGTGTAGGCACCCAGCAGCCCACTTGGTCATCTGTAGCCACATTCTCAGGGCATGCTTTCTCCACACAGTGGTCATTTCTGCCTTTGGTCAAGATGCAGCTTCTGGCAACTATATTTCCTACCAGGCATTTGCTTCTATGGACCAGCCACAGCCTGCCCACACCCTCCAGCAAGGGCAGATGGCTTCTTCTAAGCCAGCTTTGGCCATCTGGCAAGTTTCATAACCACTGCAGACTGCATGTTCCTGTGGCAGCCACACCTTCAAAGAACTCTGAATATCAGCCTTGTGACATTTAGTCACGTTAGTTTGCTCAGGTGGGTATAATAAAATACCATAGTCTGGGTGTGGTGGCTCATGCCTGTAATCCCAGCACTTTGGGAGGCCAAGGTGGGCAGATCACCTGAGGTCAGGAGTTAAGAGACCATCCTGGCCAACATGGTGAAACCCCGTCTCTACTAAAAATACAAAAACGAAAAAAAAACAAAAATAAAAAAATTAACTGGGCATGGTGGCACCTGCCTATAGTCCCAGCTACTCAGCTGAGCCAGGAGAATCACTTGAACCCAGGAGACAGAGGTTGCAGTGAACCAAGATCATGCCACTGCACTCCAGCTTGGGCAACAGAGTGAGACACTGTCTCAGAAAATAAAAATAAAAATAAAATACCATAGACTGGGCAGTTTAAGCAACTGGCATTTCTCAGAGTTTTGGAGGCTGGGAAGTCCAAGATCAGGTGCTAGGAGATTTGGTTTCTGATGAGGGTTCTATTCCTGGCTTGCAGAAGGCCACCTTCTAACTATGTTCACATGGCAGGGACAGCAATTTCTCTCTTCT